ATGACGTGAGCACAGAGGCGAATGCTCCAGTATTTATGACTTGGAATAATGGAAGATGAAGTCATCGCAAGTTGGTGCTCAGATCGGGTCTTGTTGGGGGAAGGTATTCAGCAAAGATACTTCTTTGGGTGGAGCAACTGCTTTCTGCAAAGCAGCAGTTTTGGCTGTGCATGAATGCAATGAGAACATGCGCTGCGACCTTGCAGATCTTATGGTCCACAAAAAATCCACTGCGGACAAGTGTTACTTGCTGAAGAATAAAAGTAAATCTGCAGTACAGACCTCAAAAGAATTAGCTAAAATAATGAGGTCGGCTGGTGCATTTTGCTCAACAGAAAAAGGCAATTCATATGAAGATGAGGAACTGCCGTGTGATGAGCCATTGTTTGAAAACATCCCCATGACATATATGGTCACTTTCTGAAACCTCCGCCTTAGAGTTTGCTTTTTCTTCCCATATCAAGCAGAAGGCAATAAGATTGGAAGAAGTTAGAGAAATTGTTAAAAGCATTCCACCACTACAAAGTATACCTCCTAAGAAAATCTGTGACAAAGTACGCTCCTACTTTGGGAAAGATGATTCACTGATTGAGGATTCACTATCGTTGCCAAAGGAAATTGAGTCAAAGGGAGAACTATTGAAACGAGCTGGTCTGAAGTGTAAAAGTGGTACGTAAAATCTGTTATATAGTTAGTGTCAAAGTTCAGAGTGGCGAATAGAGCATTTTAAAAAGTCTGCCTTGTGATGTAGTTTGCGGATAATGGAAAACCCCGCATAGCCATTTGGCTTGCCTGATTGGCCCAAATGATCATATTTATCCGCAAACTATGTCACAAGGCAAACTTTTTAAAAAAGGTCTATTGTTCAAAACTGTATCACATGCCAGTCCACAAAACATCATGTTCACTGCATACTTTGGCGATGGGGCAACCAGTCCATAATGAAACAATTATTAACCGGTCAATATTAAAACATGTGATTCTACACATAAAGCGATTTCAAACTTGTTTTCCGAAAACCTCCCGGCTAAACATTATACATTTTTAAATATGCTGGCATAGATTCACTATTAAGACAAAAATGCACTATATCAGAACAGGGTTCGAATTAAATATTTAAAAGTGAAGAGCGAATTTGTATCTACGGATTCTTGTGGTTCAAAGTGAATAGCGAATTTTTTTACGTAGTCATTTAAGCCATAAAGGCCATTTTCCATTACGGTCGCGTGGGCAAAGCTTTAATGGGTCAAGCGTCCTTAGAGCAGAGTGCAAACAAAACAAAATAAGCACAGCGAACCACCACAAAAGCAAAACATGCTTTAAGGTAATAATTCCTAGTTTTGACATTTAAAATAAAATAAATTTTATTGAAAAGTGTAAAAAACATGTAGAATCACAGAACTTAAATATAAAAGTTGCTGAATTTTCAAGCAAAAATGTATATTTGAAAACATGCATTGTATAACTATATATAATATATTTATAGTCTGTAGAACTGTTATCATTTGCTTAAGTCGTTAAAATTTAAGAGTCATCTACAGATCTACTCATCTTCATCACTTGATGGCAATTCCAAGTCAGATAAGACAAATTCTGCAATATCTACAGTGTCTGCACTTGCCACAGCATTCCCATCTGCTTTTCTTTTTCTCTTAGCAGGATAGTTGTGTCTTCCTGTCTTCAACCTTCGTACTTTCTCGGTGAACCACTTGTCTATTGCAATATCGGGATTGAAGTCGTCTAGCGTTGGGCCGTCTTCGCTAATTCGTAGCAAGTTGTCAAGTGTATCTCGATTCAATCGATTTCTCCAATCTGACTTAACATGATTCATGCGTGAAAGCATTCTTTCAACCTTTGCATTTCTGAATGGAATTATAAGAAAAATTTCAATTAGGTGAAGAATGTTTTCACACTCTGATTTGATTGAGTCGTTTGTCAAAACACGTTTCCAGACTTCCAAATAGGTAATTTCTTTGTTGCTTGAAACCAAAGGTTGCACGAATGTCTTCAGGGTGTCCCATTCTGTTACCGCCTTGTCAACATCGCAACCATTTTTGTCAAGAAGATTCTTGAACAAATTTAACAAATCGCTCACAGCACCATCACCAAATGAAAGATCACCATCTGATTCTTTTGGCCATAACTGGATATCCAAAATTGATATGATATGGGTGAAAACCCCGGATGCTCGCAAATCTTGAAAGTGCTTTTCCATGCTCGAAACATCATTATTAGCAACGTTGAATCCAGTGAGTGAAATGCCATGATAAACTGTTTCATCATTTTCGCCTGTTTCAAGTTCAGCAAGCAGTCGTTTGTAATGAGTAAGTCTACTAGCTGGTTCGTTGAGTGACTTGTCAATCAATGCATGTAATTTAACCATAGTCCAGGAAAACTCTCTAATTCTACGGACAGCTTTGACTGGATCGTGCAATTCTTGCTGGAAGCCCAAACTTAATCGACGTATGGGAGAAAGAATATGTAAGTAAATAGCCAGATAAATAGTATATATAGCACTTTTCCATTTGTTTAGGTAACCTTTCAATTCTCAGAATTCTGCTCGTTTGACTGGATTTGAATCGGTTTGCGAAAGTGACTCGATGTGGCTGAGAAATGCCCCATAATGTTCTAATGCTATTTTCATTGCGTTGACTTTGTGCTCAATCCAACGTGTGCCAGTTGCCTTTGTCGGTTTCAGGATAGACGTCTCCCAGGCCTCAGCTAATTGTTTCAGTTCACGATAGCGTTTCGGGCTGGCGTTGTAAAGCGAATGAAGTACTCGAAGCATCTGGTCAATTTTTGAAAATGCTGAAGCGTCAAAGGCATCTTTGATAGCAAGCTCAATACGATGATTGAAGCAGTGAACCAAAACAAGCCAAGGTGCTGTTTCACAAACTTTTGCACCAAGACCGGCATGTACGCCCATATTAACACTTGCTCCGTCTACGTTGAGACCAATCAGGCGATCAGGGAAGCGAGAAATACCAAGTCGGCTAAAGAAGGTCTCGATGGCAGTTTGTAATCCTTTCAGCATCAGCTTGCGCTGGTGATTCAACTCCCATAAATTTGATTACTGGTGTTCCATCTTGGAGGAATAAAACATATACCAATTCCTGTTCAGTCGTGCTCACATCAGTGCTGCCGTCGTTCAGAATGGAGTAATAACAAGCCTTTGCTAAGTCAGCGTTTAGACTTTCTCTGGTTATCTGTCCTATGACATTAACAAATTTCGCGGCTGCGAACAGTTCTGGAAAATCAGTGAAAGGTTTCTCGTGCTTTGTGAGGTAATAAGCTGAATTGAACTTAACTCTTAAAGACTCTTGATCTTTTGTGCACATGTTTTTAAAATTTCGACCAATCCCTACATGGTTTCATCCACTACATGGTTCATGTACACCTCAATTCCCATATTGGTCTTGTTCTCCAAATGCTTCGCCTCCAAGTGTGAAGTGCTGTTTATGTGTACTTCAACAGAATGCTTTTTCACGGACTCCGAAGCTGGGTGAATCCATGTAGTAGAGAAATTCTTCCTGCTGTTTATACGATACTCCCATTTTGTGCAAAGTTTGCATCTAAGCCGCACAACAAAACCGCCTTCCACATCATAATCGAACTCACAACTAAACTTTTTTCCCAACGCTGCACCGTTTTAAGTGCTGCTTTATGATCTTTCCCTTTAGAACTCATTACTATCCTTTGAACGTTCGTCAAACATACAAAATGAAAATATAATGTTCACTAAAAATTCGACCCATATTTATAGTATCTTGCAACTGACCAAACCTTAATTCAACGTCATTTTTAAACCGCAGTTGAGCTAATTTTATCAAGGTGCAGCTGAATTTACGTCTATTTTTAATCTTGTAATTACTGAATCTTGCTACAACGCTGTTTATGTAAATATTGCATTAGATTATTTAGATAATATTCTCATGGAATTATCTACTACATGTGCACAATAAATAGAAACAACAATTGTCAGTGGTTGCTGCACCCATCCCATACTAAACGAAACCAATGTTTAAACGAAAACTAACGTTTAAACGTTGCAACATTATAGTGAAATTATTCTCGCATGAATGTACTAATGAGGTAAAAATGTATTAATGAGGTAAAAATGTATTAATAACACGACCCTTCACCTTTTGCAAGTGGAGTTTGACAGATTCTTAGGCTAGAAAGATCGACGCCTTAGCTTAAGGCGTCATAACAAATGAAGGATATTTGCCTATTAAATTAAACAGTACATACGAACAAACAAGAATTTTATTTCATAAAAAAACCCACAAAGCTCAAGAATAATATGTTTTCAAGTTAAATAGTAATTTTTCACATAATTGAATCGCAAAATGAATAGCGAAATGCCAAAAACGGATGCGAATCGCGATTAGCTATCTGTTAATTCGAACCCTGTATCAGAATGCACCATATCAGACTAAGCGGACAAGCAGGAGACTTCCAATGCCCACCCAGATTTTTGAGTCCAGCACAAGTTGTCTTTTGCGATTTTTCCTGCTGAAACCAGAAGTTGTGTGAAGCTAACAAGTGTGTTATATCATTCTATGCAGAGTCAATAGAAGGCGAGGGACTGGTCTGGAAACTGTATTGTTTATCCAATTGAACTCTTTGTTCTCCCGCGGTATAGTCACGTGACTAAAGTAGGTGCACACGGTAAAATTGAAACCAAACATACGATTGAAAATTGAAATCATTGAAACTAATTGAAACATATGATTCTTTACTTTTTTCGTACAAATTTCGTTTTAACTCTTTCTCAACAGGGTCCATTACGCGTAGAACGTGCACGTTCTACGGATGTTTCGTTTATATCTTCGGTTCAGTACACACTATGTCGATGAAAATACCACCATTCGATTCAGTATAAAAATATATACTAATTTATAACGATAGTTTTAGTCACTGGCTACATTGTAGCGATTTATAAGCTTTGAAAGTCAAACGGGCTTATATATGATCAAATTACGCAATATTACTAACAA